GAGAAAAGAGGAAGTCAAGTTATCTCTGCAGATTACATGATTGTATACCTTGAAAACCCAAGAGAATTTGTCAAAAACCTCCTGGCACTGATAAAGAACTTTGGCAAAGTCTCAGGGTATAAAATAAATGTGCAAAAGACAATTGCATTTCTATACACCAAAAATAAACAAACAGAAACCCAAATTAAAAGCACAATTTAATTTACAATATCCACACAAAAAAGGAAATACCTTGGCATCTTCCTAACCAGAGACATAAAATCTTTTACAATGAAAACTATTAAATACTACTCAAAAAAATCAAAGATGACACAAACAAGTGAAAAAATATTCCATACTCATGGATTGGAAGAACCAACATTGATAAGATGTCCATTTTACCTAAAGGAATCTACAGATTTAATGAAATACCGATTAAATTACCAGTGATATTCTTCTCAGACCTAGAAAAAACACTACAGGACTTCATATGGAAACATAAATGAACAAGCCTACCCAAAACAATCCTGAGCAAAAAAAAAAAAAAAAAAAAAGGAGGAGGTATTGCACTCCCAGCCTTTAAACTATAATATAAAGCTACAATAGTCTAAACAACCTGGTATTGGTACAAGAACAGGCATATAGACCAATGGAATAGAATTGAGATTCCAGAAGCAAAACTTCAATTCCTCAACCAACTTATCTTCTACAAAACCTCCATCACCTACTACTGGGGAGAGGAGAACCTATTCAATAAGTGGTGTTGAGAAAACTGACTGACCACATGCAGAAGATTGAAACAGGAGGACACCAGGTTCGGTGTCTCAGCCTGTAATCATGCACCTTGGGAGGCTGAGGGGAGTGGATTGCCTGAGTCTGCAGCGTTGAGACCTGCCTGGGCAATTTGGTGAGACCTCATCTCTACAATAAATCAAAAATTAGCAGGGTGTGGTAGCGCGTGCCTGTGGTTCCAGCTACTTGGAAGGCTGAGGTGGAAGGATCACTGGAGCCCAGCAGGTCCAGGCGGCGGTGGCCGCCGGGAGCAGCCACTGCACTCCAGTCTGAGCGACAGAGTGAGACTCCAACTCAAAAAATAAAATAAAATAAGAGTGTTGGCCAGGCATGGTGGCTCATGCCTATAATCCCAGCACTTTGGGAGGCCAAGGTGAGAGGATTGCCTGAGCTCACAGGTTCGAAACCAGCCTGGGCAACTTGGCAAAAGCTCATCTCTACAATAAATCAAAAAAAGTAAGCCAGGTTCGGTGGCTCAGCCTGTAATCCCGCGCCTTTGGGAGGCTGAGGTGAGTGGATTGCCTGAGCCCGCGGGTTCAAGACCCGCCTGGTTAGGGAGACCTCATCTCTACAATAAATCAAAAAATCAGCCGGGCGTGGTAGCGCATGCCTGTAATTCCGGTTACTTGGGAGGCTGAGGCGAAAGGATCGCCGGAGCCCAGCAGGTTGAGGCTGCGGTGGCTGGGAGCGGCCATTGCACTCCAGTCTGGGCCACAGAGTGAGACTCCAACTCAAAAAAAAAAAAAGTAGCAGGGCATGGGAACGTACGCCTGTAGTTCTGGTTACTTGGAAGGCTGAGGTGGAAGGATCGCAGGAGTCCAGCAGGTCAACGCTGGGGTAGCCGTGAGCATGCCATTGCACTTCAGCCTGGGCGACAGAGTGAGACTCTGACATAGATAGATAGATAGATAGATAGATAGATAGATAGATAGATAGATAGATAGAATGTCTTTGTCCTCATTTAATAGAGTCCGTGAGCTTAGTTTTATTGTTGCTGTTATTATTTTAGCCTACCTCAGGCCTTTGAAAACTTGACAAAGCCTGAAGAGCCCATTGGCTCACACTTTTTCAAAGACTACTGAAGTGCTTTGCTAACCCTTCCAAAATTCAGCAGAGGTAGAGTTCCCAGATCTAGCAATAAAGATTCATGACACCCAATTACATTTGAGTTTCAAGTAAACATTAATACCCTCTTAGGATAACTATGTCTCATGCAATATTTGAGAAATATTTAACTAACAAAAAAGTATTCATTGTTTATCTGAAAATCAGATATGGCTGGGCATCCTCTCTTTTATCTACAACTCTAAATTAGAGGAATAATAACAGGAAAGTTGAGTGGTCTCTGTCCCAGAAGAAGTAAAGCAGGGCAGTTCCTCCCAGCAAAGCTGTCCACCCTGGTGTGCTTGGTCAGGATCTGACCTGCTAGAGTTGGGTGCCCAGGTCCAGCCCAGGGTGTGCCAGTAATCCTGTTACAGCCTGACCAGGTTCCTATGCCTGCTGCCCAGGAAAACCAAAACTGACACAGCCATTGCAATGAAGAAAGAGTTTAATGTGGCAAAGCAGCTGAGCAAGGAGGGCAGGAGAAGTCTCTCAAATCCGCCTCCTGGAAAATTCAGAGGATAGGCTGCTGTTCTTCCTGCAGACCAGCTCCCAATAGAATTGCTTGTTTTACCATTTCAATAAACTGATTTTTATTTTCCAGCTAAAAAAAATAACTGATTTTTACTTTCCAGCTAAAGCCCAGTGACGCACATGGGCTGCTCCGCTTATGGATTCATTTCTTTAATAAACTTACTTTTCATCTCTGAGAGAGAGGGAGGAAGGGAGGGGGAGAGAGACAGAGAAAGAAAGAAAAGGAAAATTAATTCAGAGGATATGGTTTTTAAATGGAACTTGGTGGGTAGAGGGATAAGGTTTGATTGGTTGATGATGTTATGAGGAGGTCTAGACTATCTTCCTGGTCTTCTCAAATGCCATTCTTAGGTTTTACAATAAATGTTCTCCATAAAGTAAATCCCATGACCATCAGGCACTACCCCTGGCCCTGAGCCATAATGGAGACAGTCTGAAAGGAAGGTGTGAGGGAAAGTAGGACATCTGGAGATTGAAGCCATTTTGTCCTTCAACCAGGCTTTTGTCCTTAAGCAGTTTTAGGTCCATTGTCTTTCTGTTTCATTTTGTTTTGTTTTGTTTTGTGTCAGAGTCACATTCCGCCACCCATGGCGGAATGTACATGGTACACCCATGTACGTGGTACAAGCACTGCATGTACCACCCATGTATGTGGTACAAGCACTGCAGCCTCGACCTCCTGGGCTCAGGTGATCCTTCCGCTTCAGCTTCCTGAGTAGCTGGAAGTATAAGCACACACCACCACACCAGCTAATATTTTGTAGAGATGAGGTCTTACTATGTTGCCCAGGCTGGTCTTGAACTCCTGGGCTCAAGCAATCCTCCTGCCTTGGCCTCCCAAAGGACTGGGATTACAGGCTTGATCCACTGTGACCGGCTGGTCCATTGTTTAAGAAAGAATATGTTGCTGGGGTGTGGTGGTTCACATTTGTAATCCCAGCACTTTGGGAAGCAGAAGTGAAAGGACTGCCTGAACCCAGGGGTTTGAGACCAGCCTGGGCAACTTGGTGAGATCTCATATCTACAGTAAATCAACAAATTAGCTGGGCGTGGTGGTGCACGCCTACAGTTCTAGCTACTTGGAGGGCTGAAGTGGAAGGATCAACTGAGCCCAGCACATGGAGGCTGCAGTGGCTATGAGCATGCCACTGTACTCCAGCCTGGGCAACAGACTGAGACTCCAACTCAAAAAAGAGAGAGAGAGAAAGAAAGAAAATGTTGATCAGTCTTGCCCCTCTCCCAGGGGTCAGGACTGGAAGGTAATTATTTTACTTTAATATATTATTATTTTTTAAGACAGGGTTTCACTCTGTCATCCAGGTTGGAGCGCAGTGTCATGATCACTGCTCACCATAGCCTTGAACTCCTGGGCTCAAGTGATCCTCCCACCTCAGCCTCCTGAGTAGCTGGACTTCCAGGCACACACGACC